AGGCGGGGATTGTATTCAGTAGTGTTTTCAGTGGGCAAGCTAGAATTGTTGCACTTTGTCCCCCGCAATGAAACAACCACCTCTGATAGCTACAGAATGAGAGTCAAAGTCTTCGCAACAAACCCAGATTAGCGAAACAATCAGCCAAACCCATAGCAGCTTCTGGAGAAACCAACAGAGCCGTAGAGAATAGTCTATTGGGACAGTCTTTGTTCCTTTATCTGCTGGTAATTTCTACATGTTCAGCCACCCACACCCCACCCCACCACCCCCCACTACCCTCTGCTCACGCTCCAGCTCGGGTGCCCAACCAGTACTGGCAAAGCGCTTTGAAGCACTTTTGATGAAAGGCCTTCCCGAAGCGAACCGCTCGATTTAAACGTAAATTATAGGGTAAGTGAAATACTCAGTGGCTTTGGCAAACTTGTATGGGTCGCTGCCAGACTCCGAAGACTGATCGTGAAACAACGTAACTACACAACAACAACAACAACATCGTCATCTTGCATTTACGCGGCGCCCTTTCGCAGGGTAGCGTCCCGGAGCGCCTGACTTTGCCGCAAGCACTGGGAGGAGGTGACCGTAAGCACGGTCAAAGGCGCGACCGGAAGATGGGGAAGGAAGGGGGGGCAAGGCGGAGGGACGCTGCTATACATACCGGGAAGGACCCAGGTTCAATTCTTTATTTATTTTTAAAGTTACTGACTATCTCGAATGACTTTTCATCCAATTAACCAAGTTACAGCATCCGCATCCGAGCCAATGTGCTGCGGTAACTCACTAAAAGTTTAAAGTGCCATTACCCTGGAAACAGCTGGCAACTAAATGCAGAGTTTTAAAAAGGTCAACTCGCAACCACTGAAGCTGCTAAATGTTTGGGAGGTCGCCATGTGAAATATTGCCCTTACTGGAAATCAAAGACGCACAAGGAACCAAATGAAAACTATATTTAATTGACTAAAAACAGAAATGTAGGACAAGCATCTGCATGGGCACAAAGTGCAAGTCTATGGAACGGGGGGGGGGTATATAAAAAAAATTCAGGATTACTCCCACACGTCGGAAGAGAACAAGGCAGGAATTTCGAGACGTAGATAGTCCCGTTTGCCTGTCATGTTTTGTATGTTTTGTGCCGATCCTCGGACATTCCTTACTAAACTATTGTCATTTAAACAAAGGAAAGGAATAAGAAAAATATTTCCCTCTCCCCCTTTTCCCAAATGAATTCACTGCGTCAAACTTGCAATGAATCTGGTAGGCTTGAGAAAAGACATATGGCTCCACTTAAAATTTCCCACATTCCTAACCAGGCTGCTTCATATTATCAACAGTGAGTTTTCCAATTGCTTCTCTGGATGTCTTATTATAGCCTCGCGTGGACAGTTAATGCAGTCTCATTAGAAAAGAGCAGGTTAGCAGTTATAATAGCAAACTGGCCACCCTCTCTGACTCCAGACTTCAAATTAAGGGTTACTTGATGGTCAATTATGTCTGTCCCTCTGTCTCTCTCTCTCGTTCAAAACAGAACTCAGCTAGACTGAAAACATAAAGTTTTGCTGGCTTTGGCCGCTGGCAAGTCAACGTTATTTTCTGTATGACAATTGCAAACTGAGCTATGTACTTGGTCCCAATCTAGGTCCTGTAAAGCGGTTCAAAGTGCAGCAACAACAACAACAACGACAACATTACATTTATAGAGCGCCTTTCACGTCGGGAGGACGTCCCAAAAAAAGAATCTAATACAAGGGACCTTTCACTCAGCTCCCCAAACCCATTGCGCACTCTGGGGTTCCCCCCCCAAGCCTTGGCTGTTGTCCAACCTTCGCCTAATACTTTCCGGGATTGGGTCACCAGGATGCGTCCCTCCAGGGAGAGAGAGAGAGAGAGAGAGCATTCCATACCAACAACTTATCTCTGGGATTCCCATGTGTAGGTGGGACACATGGAAATCTCAGTCTGGTTTAGGTGTTCTTAAGCACGGTGATGGGTTTCTGCAGCCAGCTGAACCCCGCACCCCCCCACCACCCAAAAAAACATTCTCCCTATCTCAGAAGTAAATTAAGCAAACGTGAAAAATAACTGGTTTGCCTGTACTTCTGGTTCCAGCCATATTGCTTGGCATATCACTTCCTGAGTCATGCCTTCTCAGCCACAATAATGTGGGACACAGGGCTCAATCTTCTCTCCCTGTACTTATCACCTCAGACTCATTAGCCATGAATCTACACTAGACGCCTACTATTGTATTCAGTAGATAGAATCCCACGCCCACTCCCATCCCAATCTAATCTTCCTTGAGGCTTGTTAAAAAATTGTACTTTAATCCTGCACTTTACAGTCCAAGTTAAAAAACTGCTCGCATCCAAAAACTATCCATTCCATACCTCTCTCTCAACGTTTGAAAAATCTAGCTCATATCCTCTCTCAGTTCTCCTTTCCTCCAATAAAAACAGGGTTTAGCCCAGAGTTTGTTGTTGTGTAGTCCGTTCACTTCACAGGTCTCTACATAATCTGCAACAGTCCTGAGCTGCAACGTACTGAAAGTTGCGGATCGCTTTTCCAAGGGGTAATAATCCCTTCAAATTTTTTTTATTTGTTTAAAAATAATCATTTGGTCACTCAATCCACAACTGTTTGTGGGACGCTGCTGTGTGCAATTGGCTGCCTCGTTTCGCCCACTAAATATACAGTCGATTCACTTTACAGTGTATCCTGTGAAGTGCTTTGAGACGTCTCGAAGTCGTGATAAGGAGCTATACCAAATGTAAGGATTATTATTATTATTTATTATTAAAATGTAACCGTGTTAGATACAGCCTGAAGCGCTGGCAGATCTCAATACACTTTTATAGGCATTTGAAACAGACTTGCTCAACCTGAATCAGAAAAGTCATTCTATTTTATAGTGTGTCTGGGTCCCAAAGATACTGCAGGGTCATAAACATTTTCAATTGCAATATCAGATCCAGTTTGTCACCTTAAAATGGGTCTTGCAATAAGACGGTATGACACACTTCACTGGGGATAAATGAGGCGAATTGTGCAATATGCAGTCTGCAGTCTGATTACAAAGTATACGAGATGTTTCCGTACAACTTTCCGCAGCGAGCAGAGTTCTTGATGTAGATTGTTTCACTCCTGGATACGAAACCGTATGTTCTCCGAAACCTTGCTCGAGTGGCAATTCTTTGCCTGTGAGCTGGGACTGTAATAATAAGGCAGATAAACCCTGGTGACATCACATTTGAACATGATCCTGTCTTTAGCCGACAGCCGCACACATTTTAGTAGGGTGTCACAGGATAAGAGATCAGGAGAGGGAACTCCAGCTGATGTCTCCATTCTCCAAGAGGTTTCCAGGAGCAGTAAATCCAATTGTAGCGTCCCAGCGCTCTGACAATTTAGCACAAACTTGGATCTCCAAGACTTATGCTAAATGGTACCTTTATTCAGTAGTCAAGGTACAGCCAGCCTGGACTTGGAAGGGCAGACCAGTCGCTAGGGGCAGGGAATCATCCCACTCATCTCCTGTTGACCCTGCAAGCCAAAGCCCTAACGGGCAGGGTGGTCCCTTCTGGACAAGCAGCGGGAAAGCTTGCCAGACAGCGATATCAATGGCAAGCTATGCGGTTTTAGCTGGTGAAATGCTGTACTCTATCCAGCACCTTGGGAGGTCCTCCCGACGTGAAAGGCGCCATACAAATGTAATCTTGTTGTTGTTAGACTCCAGCAGTTACCCCAACGCACACTCTGGGGTCCCCAAACCTTGGCCAACCTGGAGTTTTTCCATCTACTGTGCAAACTTTATATTTTCCAGCACGTAAACAACCCCTCTCCACAACAAAACAGAATACTGTGGATTATTAAGTGTGAACACACAATAGATTTCAGGCAAATAGCTTCACAAAATATTTTCTGTGCTTATTTCTGAAACAAGTTCCCTGAAAATTCCTACATGTTTTAACTGTCTTGATTTACAGGCTATTTTTTGAAAGGGGCTTTTCTGGCTCCACCTCACAGCAGAAAACGTTCAGTCGCAAACAGCTTAAGTGAACCTCAGCACAGCGGAGATGACCTGCGGAGGCTAACTGTGGCAAGATTTCATTCAGGTACAGGAGGGTAGGGCAACTCATCACAATTTGCGTCCTTTCTTTCCCTCCCGACCCCCCCTCCCTCTGCAACTTCAAAGATTAGTTATTTTATTGGGATAAAATAACAATAATAATTTTTGAATTTGATATAACGCCTTATCACGCCGTCGAGACGTCTCAAAGCGCTTCACAGAATGTACGGTAAAGTGAATTGATTGTGTATTTTGTGGGTGAAACGCGGCAGCCAATTGCGCACAGCAGTGTCTCACAAACTGTTGTAGATTTGAGTGAACAATTTTTTTCAGGGGACGGATTATCACCCTGCAAAAGTCATCCACCAATCGACTAACAGCTGGGTGCCTACTTACTGCTCGGTAAACAGAATTATGGAGTAAGGAAATTTGTCTAAGGTTTTGCCCTGCCCGGCCATGAAGTCGCCACAATTAACTGTACTAGTTACAAGCCCCAATTTTACCTGCTGTGCTCTGTGGTCTGACAGACACTTTGGGCCAGGAATAAAACACAGATGTACAAGGTTAATCCATAAAGGAGTCTTTTAGCTCAGTGGTTAAAGCACTCTCCTCGCAAGCGAGAGACCTGGGTTCGATTCCCGGCAGGGTGAAACCTTGGGCAAGTTTCCTTACGCCACACGCCTGATAATAATCCCTCAAGAAAAAGAACAATAATAAAAAATTGTTCACTTCAATACACGACTGTTTGTGGGACCCTGCTGTGCGCAATTGGCTGCCGTGTTTTGCCCACAATTGCACAGTCAATCCACTTTACAGTACATTCTGCGAAGCGCTTTGAGACGTCTAGAAGGCGTGAAAAGCGCTATATCAAATGCAAGGATTATTATAACCCGTGTAACTATCTGAACAAACACAGGATATAACGTAGTCTTCGTACCTTTGAAGAAACCTTAATATCTTGATGGTGAACGGGCTGATTTGTTACCAGGTCCTGCAGTGGGAGATCAGTGATATCATGTGACTGGATTGGTTAGCAAGGCTCCGTGTAGCCCTAAATTAAAAAAAAGTTACGTGTGTTAGCGAATTCCACTCGTGCTCGTAAATCCTTTCCCCTCCCTCCCCCATCTACAACAACTTGCATTCACATAGCACCTTTCACACGGGCAGGGTCTCGGAGCGCTTAACAGTGGCGGAGCCTGATGCCGAGCTGGGGGTGTTGGGGGGGAGCGACCGTAAGCACGGTCGAAGAGGAAGGTCTTCAGTCGTGATTTAAAAGATTGGTGGAGAGAGTTCCAAAGCTTCGGGGAGTAGTGGCTGAAAGCACGGCCACCGATGGTGGAGCGGAGGGGACAAGGGACAAGCAGGAAGCCAGAGCCAGCCGAGCGGAAGCAGTGGATAATGGAGTGGGAAGAAAGCAGGCCAGAGAGGTAGGAAGGTGCCAGCGCGTGAGGGGATTTGAAGACTACAGGAGTCCTGTAACTCAGTGGTTAGAGCACTCGCTTTGCAAGCGAGAGACCTGAGTTCAATTCCAGGCAGAGGGCGAAACCTTGGGCAAGTTTCCTTACTCCACACAGAGCCTAATAATAATCCCTCCAAAACCAAAAACAATAATAAATTGGTCATTTTCAATCTACGACTGTTTGTGGGACATTGCTGTGCGCAATTGGCTGCCGCGATCGCCCACAAATATAGTCAATTCACTTTACAGTATATTCTGTGAAGCGCTTTACAGTATATTCTGTGAAGACGTGAAAAGCGCTATATCAAATGCAAGGATTATTATTATTATTATTATTACTGGGTGTGGCAACAAAACGTGTGATGGTGCCAATTTGCGTTCAGATCAGGAAGCTGTACAATTCAGCAGAGTCATTGTCCCTTCGAAAGGGGAGGTGTTACATTGGCACAGTCACAAACAGAGAAGAGTGCAACAATAGAAGTTGTGTTGCAAAAAAACTTACGATTCTACTGAACGACACGAAGGATAAAGCCCTGCATTTTCTAAAAAATACATAAATTGTAAAATTCCTCCCCTCCCAAGAAACATTTAACCACAAAATACACAGTCGATCCACTTTACAGTATGTTCTGTGAAGCGCTTTGAGACGTCTCGATGACGTGATAAGACACTATATCAAACCCAAGGATTATTATTATTATCCAAAGCCTTAAGTACCTGCCTCGTTGTACAATACAATTTGCATTCATACAGTGTCTTTCATGTCCAGGTGACTTTGCAAAGCCCTTTACATTGCACGCTGGGCACCTGAGCTGAGGATGTGAGCTAAAGAGGATGGGGTGGGGGGGGGGGAAATGACTGAAAATGTGGTCGAAGAGATACGTTTTGAGGTGGGCTTTGAAAGTGGGTAAAAAGGTGGAGGGGCAGAGTCTGAGAAACTCCAGGAAGGAGTTCCAGAGAGGAGAAGAATGGCTGAGTACCTGCGCACTGATGGTGGAACACATCGGATGGGGGGGACATGATTGCCATCCAGTATTTGCTGAGCCAGTTGGTCGGGTCAGTAGGATTGTAGGAGGTTGCGGAGGTATGTTGGGAGAGACAGTGGACGGATTTGAATGCGTTGAACGATGATCTTGAATTCGATTTGCTGTATGTTTAAATATTTATTTAATATTTACCGATCCCAAAGCACTATTTGAAAACACAGTAAGAAATGGTGCCTCCTACCACTCCATCATTCAACTTCACCTTCAAATAAATCTTATTAAATGCCTTATGACGTTGTTGAGACGTCTCAAAGCGCGTCAAAGAATATACTGTAAAGTGGACTGACTATGTATGCATGTGCTATGTATGTGGGCGAAACGTGGCAGCCAACTGTGCGTAGCAGTGTCCCAAAAACAGTTGTGGATTGAGTGACCAAATTATGTTTTTAAAAAAGGGATTATTATCCCCGGAAAGATAATCCGCCAATCGACTAACAACCAGGTTCCTACTTACTGATAGGTAAACAACGGCGCGTGGAGTAGGGAAACTTGCCCTTGAAACTTGGCAAAAAGGTTTCGCCCTGCCCGGGAATCGAACACTTCCTCTCGCTTGCGAGGAGAGTGCTCTAACCATTACGCTACAAGACTCCACATTTTCATTTCTAAGGAAACCAAGTGCGGATTCTGGTAATCAGAAATTAACTCATGCTGACAGGCGGGAATGCTGTTCCAAAGGTAGAACCACCAGAGACGAATTCCTGGCAATTTGGCACCACATACTTCAGAGTTCTTTATTAAGAAAACCCATTAAAAACCACCATGTATTCGATGCCAGTCCAGAGAAACCGCCTTCTCCTCTTGCTATTTTGGTCAAAGGTGAATTCACCTCCTGCTCCCTTTCCATCAGGCAATTCAATCAACTCGAGCTGTTTGCACACTGGGTATGCAGGGGCCTCAGAATCAACAGAAGCTAACAAGAAGTGTTTGTCTCGGGAAAGGTAAACAGGTTGTCCCCAGTGGCCGGGCAAGTGTGTCAGTTATACAGAGCTCATTTTCCCCCCATTAAGCAGCTCATCACGGGCCAAGAACAACAGGTGCGGAGGACTCCTTCGGGCAGGTCATTAAAGTGTTGTTCTTTGCACTTACATGTAGAAATAAAGAGCAAAATATGCAGGTCAATCAAGATAACAGCCTTAGCTCATCCAGTAAAACCATTTGACCCTCAGATCCCGACTTCAGATTATTCAGAACTCTGCAGCTCGTGTCCGCTCCCGCACCAGGCTCCGTGAACCCATCACCCCTACCCTCGCCCGGCTCCACGGACTCCCCATCCCCCAGAGGATAGAGTTCGAAACCCTTGTCCTTGTTTTCAAACCCCTCCATGGACTTGCTCCTCCTATCTCTGTGACCTACTGACTCCATATCAACTCGTCCCATCAATGGTTAGGCCTTCAGCCTTTCTGTCCCCACCTTTTGGAACTCCATCCTACAGTCCTTTCGCCTCGCCCCCTTCCATGCCTCCTTCAAAACCCTCCTCTTCGACCACGCCTTCGATCACTCTCCTACCCCTACCCTCCCTGCCCTCCACCCCTCTAGATCCCAGCTCGGGTCCAAATCCCTGACTGTCCAGCGCCTTGGGAAATCCTCCCGATCTGAAGGGCGTTATACAAATGTAATTTGTTGTTGTTCTACTACCTGTACAACAACAACAACAACAAGATTCCATTTATAAAGCGCCTTTCACGTCAGGAGGACGTCCCAAGGCGCTGCACAGTTGGGTCATGACCCGAGCAGGGGGGAAATGGTCAGGGTGAGGGAGGGAAGGGAGGGAGCGAGGAGGGGGGAAATGGTCAGGGTGAGGGAAGGGAGGGAGCAAGGAGGGGGAAATGGTCAGGGTGAGGGAAGGGAGGGAGCGAGGAGGGGGAAGAGAGTCGAGAGGGGAGCTGAAGGCACGGTCAAAGAGAAAGGTTTTGAGACCGGCCTTGAAGGAGGAAAGGGAGGAAGCGGCGAAGGCACTGGGGGATGGAGTTCCAGAGCCTGGGGGCTGAGAGGCTGAAGGCCCGACCACCGATGGTAGGGCGGTTGGGGCGGGGGACGTGGAGCAGACCAGAGCCAGAGGAACGGAGGGTACGGGCAGGTAGGTAGGGGGATAGTAGGTTGGAGAGGTAGGAGGGAGCAAGGCCGTGAATGGCCTTGTAGGTGAGGATGAGGATCTTGAAATCAATCCTCTGGGGGATGGGGAGCCAGTGGAGGCGAGCGAGGGTGGGAGTGATGTGGTCGCGAAGCCTGGTGCGGGACAGTACACGAGCTGCAGAGTTCTGAATGACCTGCAGCTTGTGGAGGGAGGTGCCGGGAAGGCCGGCGAGGAGAGAGTTCCCATAGTCCAGCCTTGAGGTGACAAAGGCGTGGACCAGGGTTTCAGCAGCGTGAGGGGTGAGGTAGTGCCGTAGTCTGGCGTAGTTTAAGAATAAACATTCGTTGTTTGGCTCAGATGACTGAGGACTGGGATCGGCTCCCGAAATTTCAGGGTTCGAATCCAAGCTGATCCACTGAGTCCTTCACCTTTTTGAGGTTAATGAATGAGTACCATGTCTGAACATCTGGTGTGGGGGAGGGGGGAGTGAGTGGGTCTCTAATGGAGCCCAACTACTTCAAAAGAGTCACAAGACACCTTCAACAATGCAGCTCTCCCTACACAATGTGAGTCTCAAAGTCTTAATGGGGGGGCCTGAACCCATAATCTTCTGACCCGAAGGTGAGAGTAACACCAACCCAGCCGGGCTGACACATAAATCCATGCCTGAATTTAAAAGTGTTGCAAATACAAAAGGTTTGGCAGCTGCAGGAAAATACTGTGTACTGTGGAGTCCTGTAGCATATTGATTAGAGCGCTCGCCTTGCAAAAGAGATGACCCAGGTTCGATTCCCAGGTGGGGTGAACCCTTAGGCAAGTTTCCTTAGTCCACAAGCCTCTGTTTATCCAGCAGTAAGTAGGAACCAGGTTGTTAGTCGATTGGCAATCGTTTTCTAGGAGTAATAATCCCTTCAAAAAAAATGTCATCTCACTCAATCCATGACTGTTTTTGGGACACTGCTGGGAATAATTGGCTGCCGGGTTTCGCCCACAAAATGCAGTCAATCCTCTATACAATATATTCTGTGAAGGCGCTTTGAGACGTCTCAAAGACGCAATAGGAAAGCAGGGACTCTTTGGAGCTGAACTGGCTCCAAGGTGACATGTTTGGCAATGGAATATCAAGGATTATCATCATTATATATGTACAAAATTCACCCCCACCCAAATATGAGACACTGAAACAAAATTCACTGATTAATTCTCTTCTAAAAATTGTGTGAATAATTATGCACCATCTGCCCACAAGTCAACAGATGGTAAAGTGTGTGGATTTTAATCCAAGTTAAAGATCAGGTCAATCAGGTGTTTTTCCCCTAGGAATCATAATGGAAAACCCAGAGCACTGGTTACTGCAATTGGTGAATCACTGCAATTCTCAATTCCAGGGCACTGATTAAGATAACAAGTTCCAGAGGGAAAATTAAGCAAATAAAAGAGAGAGAGGGATAGAAGGAAAACACAATATGGCT